GGGTGGAGTCAGATGCGCGTGGCCGTCCGGTCAGAGTTAAATTGCCCAGCCAAGCAGGAGGCAGGAGCTCCTTTCAGATCACTCCCAGGTTGGGCTGTGTTCATGTTTTACTGTAGCTGGAGGCAGTTTCATGGAGTTTCACCTTTGCAAGGGTAAAAGCCTGGCCGGGCTCCAGAGTCAGAGTGAAGTGAAGCTCGGGAGCGAGGCCGGGCCAGGCCGACGCAGAACCCAGGGCAAGTCTGAGCTGGATGTCCACAGGCCATAGAGCTGGGCGTGACCCGCCATGAACTGAGGACTCACAGCCAGCACCTCTCAGCCCGCGGCTTTTGGGATGTCCCATGCTCCCACCTTCCTGATGTACAAGCGCACATGGCCATGCCTGGATCTGAGGTCTGCCTTCCTTTAGGGACCTCCCTGCCCCTCCCATGGTCACACGGACAGGAGCTCACAACTCACATGTGCAACCCAGTCTCTATCCTCCTCCGTCCACGCAAACCACCCCACAAGCCACATAGGGTCACATCCCTGCTATGCCAGTGACCAACTATTGCTTGCAACACATTGTTACTCTCTGGGAACCAGGGTGGCCCATGTCTTCCCAGGCTCTGGTTTCCGACCATCCCCACGCCTCTTCCCTGCTCTCCTACTGCTCTGTCTCTGGCACTCCCCATCCCAGACTCCTGTTCGTTCCTCACTCAGCACAAGTTTCCAGGCTGTGGTTTCAGGGTCCCCTTTCCGGTCCAGCCACAGGCGCCCCCTCATCCCCAGGACTTTCCCACTTACCCACGTGTTCACCCTAACATTTTCCAAACCAAGGCCGGCCGCCCCACTGGGGGAGCCAGGCGTCGTGGGGGTCGAGGCAGGGCCACCCTGGCACTCACACGCTTCTCCCACTCCTGGCTCCACCTCTAGCCAAGTGGAAGACGCCCTTTGACCCCCACAACACTGTCAAGGCAAGATTCTACCTGAGCAGGAGGAAGTGGGTGAAGGTGCCCATGATGAGCATCGAGGACCTGGACGTGCCCTACTTCCGGGACGAGGAGCTGTCCTGTGAGGTCGCAGAGCTGATGTACACGGGCAACGCCAGCGCGCTCCTCGTCCTCCCTGACCTGGGCAAGATGAAGCAGGTGGAAGCCAAGCTGCTCCCGGAGACGCTGAGGAGGTGGAGAGACTCGCTGCAGACCAGGTGATCGTCCCGGGCCCGGCGCTGTCGCCTGGCCCACCTTCCTGCCCTGCCCCCTGAGACGGCCCGTCCCTCCTCCTCGGGGTCTCACCAAGTCCAGAGACTCGGCATGGTGGTGGGGCACCCGTGCGGGGACAGGTGGAGCTTGGGATCGCTTTGCCCTTTGCTGCCGGTGTGGCTTTGGGCCTGATTTTTGTTCTTCTTTAAGACGATGACAGCAGACAGAACAAGGGGCTGAGGCTTCCTCTGACTCTGACGAGCCCTGAGTCGTGAGGCGTCTCTCACGCGACCTGCAGGACTCAGGCAGGTTCTCCCGGTCTCAGCCTCTGAAGGGAGAGGGGACAGAGGGGGCTGTGGTCAGTTGAGGGCTGAGGCCAGGTGAGCTTGAGAATCAGCTCAGCACTGGTAAACCGTACATTCCTTCAGCATTTGTTGAGTGACTAACTGAGCACCTACTATGTGCCAGGCACTGATTTAGACCCTGAGGATATATCCGTGAATAAAACACAAAATGCCCTGCCTTCATTGAACTGACTTTATAATTTGGAGAGAGGAAGAGATAAGTAACTATAATAAATAATTAAATTATTTTACATGTTAGAAGATGAGACATGGCAGAGATAGTAGAGCAAGGTAGCAGGATCAGGAACACTGGAACTAGAGGTGGTTGGTGAGTGTCAGTAGATGGCCATTATGTGATGCTTCGTGGGCAAACTTTGGAAAAGCATTGCTGAGAAAGGGAACAGCCAGTGCAAAGCCTCTGAGGCAGACTGATGCTGGTGTGATCAAGGAGGGGCAGGGCCAGAGTGGCTGCAGCAGAGCCAGTGAGGGGAGAGGTAGAGGTCGGGGGTCAGGGAATGGAGCAGGTCATGTGGGGCCATGCAGAGCCCTGGAAAACCTTGACCTTCCTCCTCAGTGAAGTGGAGAGCCGTCAGGAGGTTTCAAGGAGCAAAATGACCTTAGTGTTGTTTTGAAAGGATGGCCCTGGCTGCTGAGTGGAAGGCAGCCAGAGGGGCAAGTGTGGAGTTGGGGAGACCAGCCGGGACCCCCATGTGGAGTCCCGGGTGAGCCTGCGGTGGACCCTGAAGGGAGCTGTTGAGTATGAGAAGCAGGAGAGGAGTTCTGAGTGAGTCTGAAGGTAGAGAGACAGGCTGGGACTCGTGGCTTTGAGCTGACCAATATGAGGGACAAGCAAGGCAGAGCAGTGGTTTCAGCCCAGACCCTGCAGTGGGCGCAGGGGTGCGGAGGGAGGAGCTCCAGCCTCAGGGGCCCCGGTGACCAGCATGGCCTCCAGCAGGTGACTGCTCTTCTCTGGGGCTCAGCTGCCTGCTGCATGGGGTGTAGTTTCCCTGCTCGGCCCTTGTCCCTACTGGATGACTGGGGAATCCAGTGGGGAAGGGGACATGGAAGGCACTGGAATATATGCACCACAAAGGGAGAGGGACCTGCTGGGACCCTGACCTGAGGCTGCAGCCCCTGCCCCAACCCCCGTGCAACTCTCAGCCCTTCTCACTCCGGATTCCAGGGGTCCCAGGGCCCCCTTGCAGACGCTTCCTTCCTGCAGCCCCGAACAGCTGCCACGGAGCAGGGGCTCCAGGGGCAGTTTTGCACGGAATGTGCATCCCCCAAACCCCTTTGACTCTGCAACACTAAGGAATTGTGTGTCTTCATTGGCATGGCTCACTGTGGCGCTCAGTAAACAGTGGTTGAAGGAATGAATGAGTGAATGAATGAATGAATATTCAGAGGAAGAGGGCACCTGCCGTCCTCCCACGGGATTCAAAGTTTCACGAGCGACACAGCCTCCCTGTGGAGCTGCTGGACCAAGCAGACAGTGAGAAGAGTTTAAGGGGGATTCAAGGGAAGGAAGAGGGAGCTCGTGGGGTGAGGTGACTCCTCCTCCCCCAAGAGCTTGCCGCCTGCCCTGTGCCCAGCCTGCACTGGCTCGGGGACAGCGCCCATGCAGAGCTCACTGGGATGCAAAATGGGGACCTCCAGTTGATCATTTCAGAATCCCAAAAGCCGCTCCAGTACAATCAGACTCCTCAGAAACCCCCATCCTCTCATGACCCACCTTGGCCCCTGCCCAGCCTCCCGCCTGCCCCCTCTCCTCCCCCACACCAAGGCCACCCTCCACTCCACGGGGCAGCTCCTCTTGCTCCCCACCTTCCTGCGTGTTCCTCCACCTGTCTCCTGCCTCCCCTTACCCTCCTTCCTCTCCCTTGGGACACAGCCTCAATACCGCCTCCTACAGGAAGCCCTCCTGGTGCCCTCCTGTCTCTCACCACCCTCCATGGCCCTGTTGGTGTGAGGGTGCTGCACACTGCAGTGGTTTCGGCGGAGAGTGGGGCTAGGCTCAGGCACTGGCGCGGCTCCAAGCCTGGCACGTTGCCTGGCACCTTTAACACTTGCAGGTGCAAATAGGTCATTAATGAATTAAAAAGAATAAATGCTAGGGGTTAAGAAACTGAGGAAAAGATTATTTATTTGCAGTGAAAAATGTGCACCAAGGTAGGAGAAAGTGGGCACTGAGCCAGCAGAGGTTCAAATACTTTTTGTCTCATTTCCTAGATATGTAGATAGCCTCCAGCTGCCGAAGTTTTCCATCTCGGGTGACTATAATCTGGAAAACATCCTTCCCCGGCTGGGCATTAAGGCCGTCTTCACCAAGAAGGCCGACCTGTCGGGGATCTCAGGGGCCAAGAACCTCGTGCTCTCCCAGGTGAGTCTTCAGACTTTGGGCGACTTGTGCTCCGTACCTGAATTTGAGTGGGGAAGACCAGATGGACGTTTGGGTAATTTTGAATCTGTGTAGAAATGTACGTTTCTCATCATGGATCCTCCTACTTGGGATTCCTCCTAGCCCGGGAGAGCTGAGGTACAACTGGGGGCTGGTCGCCACCTCCCCTGCCACATCCTGTGACCAGGGAACCTGTCATTGGGAAGAATCAGACAGCCATGGACACACTCCCATGCTCCCCTGTGTAGTGTCTGCAGGACAAACAATGAAAGTCCTCCACCCTCAGTTTTCCATCTGTCAAATGGGGTGATAGTCCTCGGCTCCTAGGCAGTGCCTGGCGGGGCAGGTAACAGGTAATAGAAATGGTTATGTGGGATTGTGATGGAAATACACTCAGGGTATGAGAGAAGACTCTTGGGCCCTGGGACTGCGTTACTAGAAGCAGAGTTGTCAGAGCAAAGGGGGTCGGCTGGGCTGCCCTCTGCTGTCCCCAAACGTGTGCCCAGGCAGAGCACGGCGCTGGGGTCTGCCAACCGCCTCCCAGGAGCAGGGGATGGGGCTGTGCACAGGAGCAGATCCGGGTAGTCCCAAAAGCAAAGCCAGGCAAAGCAGTTGCGAGCCCCAAGGCTGTGTGAGCTGGGGCAGGAGTGCTGGCCCTGCCAGGGGGCGTGTGCGGCAGCTGTTTTGTGGTCGAGAGGCTGCCAGGAATTAGCTTGCAAGAAAAATGGCTTCGGTGCCCTTGCCCCGCCTCCCGACAGGAGTGGGTGTTTTGGGGGCAATGAGGGCTCTGCACTCAGACAGAGAGGGACCCAGAGCAGGCCCCCCACTCTTCACCTGTACGGCTCTGGACAGGTCACACGTGCTGTCTGAGCCTCCATTTGCGCACCTGGCACCGCGGCTGTGCGAAACTAGCCGGCAGGGCTGTGCGGAGGAGCAAGCACATTTCACAGCGTGGGACATGCCCGCGGCGGACGCTGGATAGATGTCAGTCCCCTGGCGGCACACGGGCAGCCTGCCGCCCCTCCCACTCATGTCTGAGCACCGCTGTCTGTCCCCACAGGTGGTCCACAAGGCCGCACTGGATGTAGCTGAGGTGGGCACGGAAGCAGCTGCTGCCACAGGAATCAAGATTATACCCATGTCTGGAAGAATGGGCCCGATGTTCACTCTGAAATTCAACCATCCCTTTCTGGTGATCATCCAAGACAAGGCATCGCAAGGCATCCTCTTTATGGCCAAAGTCACAGAGTTGAAGGAAGCCTAGAGCTCCCCTCCAAGCAGCGCGGGTCCGCTAAGGAGCCGGGAACAGAAGCCGGGCACTGGGTGTCTGGGCACAGCCTGGCTCTGTCTGCTCATTCTTGGGAAGGTGCCAGTGACGGCCCGTGTGGCTCCCACAGGCATGGGGGCTCCTGACAGTAATAAACCATATTCTCTGTACTGGACACTTTCCTTGTGCCTTTCTGTGCTGACTGCCTGACTCTGCGTCCCCAAGGATGCCTGTGCCCCAAAGCCAAGCCCCCTGACTCCCACGCAAGCTCAGTCCCACCCCAGGCTCTCTGCCCCTCTGTCTTCAGCTGCAGCCTCCTGGCCAGAACCCCCTAAGCTTGCAGCCAAGCTCACCCGGAGCCCAGGCCCTCACTGGAGGGGACCCTGCTGTCCTAAGGCTGATTCCTGCCTCCAGGGGCGACCGGTGCCCGGGTCCAGTTTTCCCCTTTCTGTCCCCCAGGGCCCAGGCTCTGCCCACCTGGTGAGTCTCACTGGGGCTCCAGACCCTGACCACACCTGGCTCAGCCCCTGGACCCCTCACTCCTGCAGCTGAGCAGGGCTTTATGGTGAGCTCTCTCCTTTCTGCCCCCTAACCCTGAAATATGTGGGGAGTAGCCACTTTTTGGGTTCTGAGACTGAGCCACTCAACTGCCTCACCAGGTCCTAGTGCTCACCATGATGGACAATCTCCCTGGGCAACCAGAACACGGGGCTGAAGATGCATGAGCATCAAATACACGGTGGCAGTGAGCGTAGCCCTGCAGCCATTCATGTACCCGATGCCATCGGAGACCTGGTGATCTATGGGGATGACAAAGACAATAATAGGGTTAACAACTGAAAGTTGACATCTTTACGCCAGACAGTCTGCTAACATCTCTCCTTGAAATAATTCATTTAATCCCTGTGATGACCCCATGAGATAGATGCTATCAGTGGTCTCATTTTGTAGATGAAGACACTAAAGCTCAGAGAGGCTTAGCAATTTTCCCAAGGCCACAGAGGTAGTAATTATTGTCAACAGAAGTTATCAGAACCCATCTTAAAAAGGAAACAAAGGAAAGAAAGAAAGAAAGAAAGAAGAAGAAAAAGAAAGACAGAAAGAAAGACAGAAAGAAAGACAGAAAGAAAGACAGAAAGAAAGACAGAAAGAAAGAAAGACAGACAGACAGAAAGAAAGAAAGAAAGAAAGAAAGAAAGAAAGAAAGAAAGAAAGAAAGAAAGAAAGAAAGAAAGAAAGAAAGTTATTCGTTGGGCTAAAAGACAATCTTGTGGTCTGGATCACCAAGTTTGAGAAAACCATGGTCATCTGTGGAGCTAAAGAGAACAACATGAACAAGAGCATGAACAGGACCACGTAAACCATGTTGGGGATCTTAGAGTCTATTCAAAGGGTGGTGAGCAACAGTGCAATATTATAAGCAGGGAAGTGCATTGGTTAGGTTCTCCTTTAGAAAGATCACCCTGGCTGAGGAGGGGAGGATGGAGGGGGGTGAATTGCGGGTTTGGTGGGAAGAAGAGAAGCAGAATGACCGGGCATTTTCACCTGGGTTAGGAACTGGGCAAGGACGCAGAGGAAAGGGAGCTGATCAGAGATATTTACCAGGTAGAACTGATAAGACCTCATGGTCAATTGCGGGAGGGACAGGAAGGAGTGGAGGATGACACCCAGGTTCCCGGGAGCTAGGGAAAGTGAAATTCACATGCTATCCTATGAGCTAAGGATTACAGAATGGATAGCATTTTGTGCAGGAAGAAGGTGAGTTCCGGTTTGGACCTTTGGAGTCCTGGATGCCCGTAGGCCGCCTGAGAAGAGCAGTCTACGAATAATGGGTCTATGAGCTGACGTCCGATAGGGGAGTGTGGACTGGAGGGACGGATTTCTGGATGTCTTCTTGTCCAAAAGGGAAGAAGCTCCGTTTGATGGCTCCCACCATCTCCTGTGCTGCAGAAAGAGACATTGTCTGCTGGGGCCCTTCATGGGGGAGAGAAAAACCCAGAAGTCTGGGGATGGGGACAAAAAGGCACCTCAGGAAACTTCCAGCAGGCACTATCAAGGGTCCTTTGTGGGGCTGGAGACCACAGTGCCACCTACCTGTGCAGGACTGTGGTTTTCAGGGACACTCAGCAACCCGGACATACACAAAAAGGAGGCAGACTGCAAGGTGCCGTTGGAGTCGAAGTTTCCTCTGGCTCCGAGATGGGGGAACCACGAGTGGCTGACACACGAATAAAAAGGAACATATTTGAAAATGCTGCCCTGAGAGCCATTCAAATGAGGGGATTCTTATCTTCCAGGCGGGGCCATCAGGAGCCATAACAGGAGGAGCTGACAGGTGCAAGAAGTGACCAGAGACGAGGCAGTACTTTGAGGCTGAAGACATGAAAGGAATCATATATTGTTAAAAGGGTTCCACTTGCTCCACATTTGCCAGTGGGGAAATGGAGGAGAAAAGTGACGACAGATTCCATGCGGGTTGCTGTCCTCTCTCCTCCCTCATCGCAGAGCCCTTGCTCATCCACACAGCTGCGCATGGGGACTTAGGAGTGAGGGGACCCTCAGAGCTCAGTCTAGATCTTGGTTTGACACTTCACAGCTACACAACTTTGGCCAACTTAGCTGACATCGCTGTCACTGCCTGAGCACTTGAGTGATCCCAGGGCACCATAAGATAGGTTACTGCTATTCCACTAATAATGACAATGCATGTCAGAGACCTGGCTGGGGTCCACTTCCCTTCTCCACCCTGCCCCCCTCTGCCACACCAGAAATGTGTTGGGACATCTACTTCATGATGCCCTATTGTCCCCACATGTGCCACATCAGGCTGTGACTAATGCCGCCAAGAAGGGCACGGAAGCAGCTGCCACAACAGAATCCAGATTCACTTCTTTGCAGCGAGAACCCCACTGATCATGGCGTGTTTCAACAGGGCCCTTCCAGGTGGCTATTCGCTCCCCAGACACACATAGCATCCTCTTTCTGGGCAAAATTGTTGACTTCAATAAGAAATGAACCCAAACCACAATTTACAAAGCAAACTGAACTAAAGTGTGCCAAACAGATAAACTGTATCCAACTGGGACTTGCAACACGTACAAGTTAAGTTCAGAGTGTATTAACTGCAGCATGTTCAGACCCCTGTGCTCCAAGATAAGGCCTAAGCCCACTATTCTAACAGTAACTCCACACAGATGCATGGGTTCCAAAGAAAGACCACTGACTACTCACCTAGTTTACAAACACTGACCATGCTTTCAACAGCTAGAAGGGCTGAAGCAAGAATCCCAACCAATTGAGGTTTATTAGATCAGCTTTATGGAGTATCCGGGAAAAACACAAGCCCCAGATGATGCATCTGTGGCTGTTTATCTGAATAGGTTTTCAGGAGGTTTAGTATTTACACATTTCCTTAAAGGTAAGGGGACGGGGTGTGGATTTTGGAAAAGGGCAGGGAGGGAGAATGGTTACATTCTTATGGGACTTTAGATAGAGCCCAGGAAATGGACATTTTACATAAGACAAAGTGATGTTTGAAGAGAAAACAGGAGTGGGGAAGAATCAGTTCTGCAGACATGTCCGGGTGGGTAGAGGAACGATGGGTCTCCTCTGGTCTCCGTTCTGCGCCTGGAAGGATAAGCTCGGAATCAACATCATCAGTGTGGAATTGAACAGACTTTAGTTTGGTGAGCTCACCTTCGTGTGCAGACCTGAAGTTGCAGTGGGCATGTCCTTGTTTATGGGAGTGCAGGAAGGAATTTCCTTAAGAATGATCTGTGTGGCAGTCTTTCATGGGTGTCTAAGGCACTAACCTCTCTGTAGGGCTTTGGCTAATGTATAATGTTAGTAACAGCCACTCATTTGGTAAAGGATGTTACATGACTCAGCCTCCAGGCCTGACCTTATCTTTCGCATAAGGAGTTTGGAAGATCCAGAAATTTTTATTTTCCTTTACAGGTTCTTATCATCACCCTAAAACCACCATAGACTAACTCTGGCCCATGAGACCATATAAGAATCTTCCTTAGCTACCCTATTCTGAGACACTGCTGAGCTGTTGGGGTGGTATTCTCCCTTGCTCAGCAAGTTTAATAAACCAACTTTGTATGAAAGGAACAGGGCCGGGTGCGGTGGCTCATGCCTGTAATCCTAGCACTCTGTGAGGCCAAGGTGGGAGGATTGCTTGAGGTCAGGAGTTGGAGACCAGCCTTTTATTTTCGTTTCTTCTTTTTCTTTTCTTTTGTGTTTTGTAAGATAGGGTCTCTACTATCACCCAGATTAGAGTATCGTGATCATTGCAAACTGCAGCCTTGAACCCCTGGGCTGAAGCAAGACACTCACCTCAGCCTCCCAAGTAGCTGAGATTACAGGTGTGCACCACCACAACTGGTTAATTTTTCTTCTCCTCCTTTTCTTCTTCTTCTTCTTATTTATTTTTTAGAGTAGGACCTCATGTTTGCGCTTTTTCAATCTGACTAGACAAACCTGGTTGGTCAATGGGTCGAGTTCATAGGTATCCATTTCAGGTAGAGGCACTAAATAAGAAGGTTAACAGGTATTAACACAGTGCAACAGTATTTGGACATTTTCTATGTGCGTGTTTCAAAAGCGTGGGGTGGGAGATACAGTAAACTACACCCACTGGAACCCTGTCCCATGGCCTGGCCTCGCTGGCATTCCCATAGCTGCCTTGTCAGGGCAACTGTGAATGTAGAAAAACTTGAGCTACTGTGTATCACCAAAAAATAAAATAAGAAAAGTAAGTCACCGAGTCCAGTCCAACACAGGGGAGGGTAATTAAGTTCCATCTTCGGAATGAAGAAGGATCAAGAAATTGTGGTCATGTCTGTAAAATGACTGTAGTATTGTAGCCCCAGAATGCAGCAGAGTAAGTGCCTGCATAGTAGATTTTTAATTTAAAAACA